TATATTAGGACCTGACGGTACAAAATATGTTAGAGAGAAAAAAGGAAAGGGATTAGAAAACCAAAATCTACAACCCACAGTAAAGCAGGGAAGAGGCAGTGTCATGGTTTGGAGCTGCACGGGGGCCAAAGGAGTTTGTGAACTAGCCTTTATTGGCAGGATTATGAATGCTGACAAATATGTGAACGTGTTGCGATGCAATTGAAATAAAAGTGTGTGAAAGTTAGGAATGGAGAATACATGTATGTTTCAGCAGGACAACAATCCCAAGCAAACGGCCATAAAACCAAACAATGGTTGCTGTATAATGTTCAAAAAATTATCAAAACACCCCCACAATCACCAGATCTTAATCCAATTGAAAATTTATGGGCGCTGCTGGAATTATTAATACGAAAATATTCTTGTTCCTCTCAGAATGACTTAAAGATTGTTTATTAACAATCTTGGAAAGAAATTGGACCTGAGACTAAGAAGCTCGTGGAACTGATGCCAAGAAGACTCAATACTATGACAACGTGAAAGGGTACCCTACAAAATATTAAAATTAATTTAGATTGATATTTATTATATTTTCTTTGGGTTAGATAAATGTACGAATATTTTTTTTGCACTTCATATTTGAAAATTTTTATATTTTTCATACAATATGATTTATAAAATTTTACTTTTTGGTACAATTTATGCAAAATGAAGTTTCTGATTGTTATCTATAGTTACTTTATGTTGAAAACATAAATAAAAAGATTTTTGAACAGTGATAAGGAAGTACAAACCAATGGCGTACGATCTCTCAGGGAGCTCTGTGGCTAAAATAATAAATTTTTGAATTGATGTATTTTTGGCACCTACATCTGAAAGAGGATTCTAGAAAAATTATTTGAGGTACAACTATCCAAAACTGTTACATATAGCTAGATGTATATAAGTGGAATACCATACGGTCGCCTAGTTTGCTAAAATTTATTTCGTGGAGGATCCACAGAATGAATGTCAATCTTCTCTCTCTGGTTAGAATAGGTTTGGTTGTAATTCTTTTTTATTTCTTTATGACATTTACAACTGTATTACATAAATACATCAAGTAAATTTGGACATAATTGATATAATGACATGAATACACTTGCTGAGTAACTACCCAATGGTAGCACTCTAATGATATGACTACATTAGGAGATCACGGGGCCATCTTCTTTTCAGACGCCTCGGAGGGTTATCAGGAATTGAAGAGGAAGCAAGGTTAGAAACGAGAGGGTTGGGATGATTCTGAAGTTTATTATGGAAGGATAGGTATCTGGATTGGGCCAGATCTGAAACATAAGGAACATTAAGATCTTTATGGATAATTTTATTAGTGACAAAGTAAGGAGCATTGAGGATTTTATGAAGGATTTTGGATTGTAAGGATTGGATGCGAGAGGAATTTGATGGTTTCCTCATAGCTCAACTCCGTAAGTCCAAATAGGTCTTATTATAGTCAAGTATATAAGTCTTTTGTAATTAATGGGAAGTTTAGAGCGTTTGTCTAATAAGTGCTGAAGTAATCGGAAACGTCGAGCGGTTTCTTGTCGTTTCAGTCTAGTATGAGGATTCCAAGTTAGTCGTTTGTCCAGGTGGAGTCCTAGGTATCGGATTTGCTCAACAGGGATAAGTGGAGTATTGTTAAAGGAAACTGTAGGACAGGAAGTCGTTGGTTTACGACGAAGGGTAAAGGTAATTTGGTGGGATTTATTGGAGTTTATTTTAATTCTCCAGTTTTGACACCATTCTTCTAGATTTATGATGTGTGATTGAAGCATTTGGGATGCAATTGCTGGGTCATTGTTTACTGATAGGATACATGTGTCATCAGCATATGTGGTGATGACAGTGTTGGGACAGGTAGGGATGTCAGCTGTATAAACTGTATAGAGGATAGGACCTAGGATACTACCTTGAGGAACACCAGCAGACTGGGAAAAAAAGGGATGAATAGGCGTTATTGTGATTTACTTTAAAGTATCTATCAGTAAGGTAGGAACGGATAATGAAGAAGTATGTAGGTGATAGGAATTTTCGGAGTTTGTACAGCAGTCCCGGGTGCCAAACTCTATCAAACGCCTGTTCAACGTCGAGAAAGACTCCCGTACAGTACATTCCGCGCTCTAATGCAGAGGAGACTACGTCTACCACACGATGACATTGCTGTATAGTGGAATGGGAAGTTCGGAAACCAAATTGGTGATCTGGGATTATGTGTTTAGAATATAGGATAGGGTACAGGCGTTTTAAGATGAGGTTGTAATTCTAAAACAATCTTCCTACCACGCCAGAATCATGAGATAGGAGGTAAACAAAAGAAAAGGTGGAATATCATGGAGGACTGAAGAAAGGAAAGTGTGTAGTTTTTCTCATTCTAACATTGGGCTTCAATTAAATAATTCTGAATTTCCCTCCTATCTATAAATTGGTAAACTGTACTAATAAAAAACTAGAAAAATAATACAATTTATCAAATAAAACAACGTCAAAAAATAATGAAAAAGGACTGTTCATCAATCAGTATACAGCAATAATAAACAAACAGAAACAATAAAATTAAATAAAACATTTAGAGGAAGACATTCTAGTAGATCAGTGGTGCTCATGTTATTTTATTGTTACCTTAATTAAGCAATTGGCGGTTAGTTATTAGTTATTCATTAAAACCTTCATCTCAATTTTGTTTAATGGACCGCTATTTCTTTATTCAATTAGCTACTCAGTTATCCTCATTATACATCCTATGCACTAAACTATAAATTTTGTCACTCCTGATTCTTTTCATCACATGATTATTGGAAGCAAAAACATTATTTTATCCTTCACCTATTTCTTTTTGAACCAAGAAGTGCATAAGTTTAACACATGATTACATGTTATTTTCTATATATTTTTCGAACTGTACTGTATGAACTACCATGAAAACTATAACATTTAATTAGAATAATTCTAAATATTTGAGGTTATTTTTCATAAATAATAATTTTTTATAAGTAAACGAAGAAGAATATCAAGAATTAGAGTTACAAAGGTCTATTTTTAGCATACAGAATTCATTTCTGTGACTTTAAAGTTAATAAAGAATTTTAAACTAATAGTAGGAGCGTGTCTTTCTGGTCTTACTGGAGGCTTCATATCAGACTTTTATCAGAGGTCGAGCCTTTATTAAGTCACAGATTTTATTTATTGAATTTTTTTTCTCTAGTATTTTTTTTAGTAGCTCCATAAATAATGGTAAAGTAATATATATATATATGATAAATAGTTTTTAATGGAATCTGTACTAAGCTACCATCAAGTATCTTCAGTAATTTTCAGGTGAGCAGCTAACATTTCATGAATACTATGAAACTTTCATTGAACAGTAAACAAAGGTTTTAAGAGTCCTTATTATGATTTAAAAATATCAATTCAAGAATAAATGACTCATGACACAATACTATATACAATATGCCCACAGAATTACTTTATAAGGAAAGAGAGTTTTTGATAAAGTATATTCCCAATATTTGAGGAATTAAGTATCTTTGATAGTAAATTAATAAAATATATGCAATTTTTGGTTTAATAAAAAAAGGAGATAAAGGGAGCTTGGAATGTTGATAAAATAAATTAAGTTTCAAATGCTTATGCTAGTGCCATCATTATAAACCTGAGATAAGTGTAATTATGAAATATTTTATGTTTATAAAAGAAAAACTGTAAGTCATATGAAAGAAACCGAAAATCTGAATAATATATATATCGACAGCCACACTGCAAAACCTAACGAGATAAACCATATGTTTCTTGTTATATGGAGTAGATTTCTGTTCAATTTTTATTGCATGCTTAAGATAAAGATGTATTGTTCTAAATAATGTTTTTAGTTTGCCTTTATGAATATATCCAAAGCCAAGATTAACAGAAAAAGCTCAAAACCGCACATTCTAATTAAATTGTATTTACCGACTTTAGCAATGTGGTTGTATATATATTAAAGATTCCAATTAAATTGAGATCTTTCTAAAGTTTGAAAAAAAAAATATTCAATGGGCTTATTGTTGTTTCAATATGTTTTTTATTTTATTCCAAGAGATAATGAAAAATAATATTTCATGATGAAGTAAGAAGAACATGTTAACACTATCCAACATTCTCTCTCTAACTGTTACCTGGATCTTGGAAATCGAAAATCATGATTTATTATTTCAACATTTATATGGCATATTGGAATGTAATTAATTTCGACTAACAAAGAAACAAAACTACTGAGTTAAACAGATAACAGTGTACCTATAATCAATTTTTTTATTACCAATTACTAAACAAACGCAACCTAATTTAATGTTTTGTTGAAGACTGTCGTTTCCTTTTTATTAAAAAAAAATAATAATAATCAATGTTAATATAAGATAACAAATTTACTATAACCAATCATTAATTTTTAAAAATAATGCCATGAAAAATTTATAAAAAAAAGCTTTAATAAAACTGTTAATTTACCACTTTATCTGAAGTTAACTTCTAGTTAATCATGTACATATACAAAAAAAAGAACCTTAAGAATTGCTCCGCAAATTAGTTAAGGAATAAATTAAAAGTCCCCAAAACTTAGGAAAAACAGTAGTTTTTTCCAGTAAAATAAACGACTTAATAATAATAAATATGTTTAGTTTCGAGTATACAACTTATAATTTTATGATTTAAAATAAATTACAATAATTTAAAAAAAAAAAACATGCAATAAATATAATGGATAAACTCAGTCAATCCCCTAAGGGGAATTCAGCTAACTAAGTAGGTATTAGAGCACCTTAATGAAAACTTAAACATTAAAATTAAGAAGAAAAAGCTATAAATAATGTTTAAGCCACAAAGTGCATCTTACAATCATAATAATTAATAAAACAATGTAGAAATAACGAAATGCTTAATAAATCATGCATATAAAAGATATTTGAATATAATGTAAATAAATAAAAAAAAATTAAACTAACAAAGACGACGGCAGCTTTGGACGGAACTTGTGACCTCTGCATGTTTGGCCCATCCTCTGGAATAGCATCAAAATTTATACCTTTCATATCTTTTGCAGCATCTTCCAACTCTCTTTGTAGCTTAAGATTGCATTTTCTAAAAAATAATAACATTTCATTTAATCAACTTACATGACCAAAAACAAATAATATAGGTTATGTACATGTGTTCATTGCATCCACTAGCTCAATTACAAATTTTAAAACTCTAATTGATCTTTGTGCAAATAAAAAATACTCACAATGGGATCTGGGAACAACAGCCTGCCCATACAGAGATTTTTTTTTACTATGCATATATCTGAAATGGTTCGTGTGGAGGATTACAGAAAAAGAAACTTGTTTATAAATAGAAGGGACAACCTTCTTTTTAGTATTCATTGATAAAAGAGAAGACATTAAACACTTCTAACATATCAGACACACTGAACCAACATTGAACAATATGTATTTACAAATTTATTATTTATTTAACTACATTTTTTTAAATTAGTTAATCGAATTAAATTAATAACAGAATTGTTTTATTCAAATACATTAATACTTTTTTTTTCTGTTCTTTCCTACCTCGTCTTTTAGGCTATATGGAATTTTCCCGGGCCAGAGGGTGAGGGCGGGGAATTTAAAATCTCCACTGGCACCGGGACGCGAACTCGTACTTTTTCAATCTCAAAACTTGGTTATCTGGTTGCCGGGCAACTCACGGTGCTGTGCACACACGTTAACCCGTTTGGCCACCCCACCTCGAGATATATTAATATGTCCTCAAACGATGTGGTGAGGGTCAGTTCTGATCCAAGGGTCAATCTTTCCCTTAATCTCCCAACATTTTGATGAGAGGTCTCCAAACTATTTGGCCCGTGGGCCACATTAAGATCTCCACTAAGTGCCACAGGGCATGGCTTGTAATGAAAAAAAAAAAAAAGTTTGTTCAATAAATGACACTTCTTTAATGGTTATTGCAAGTCTCATTATGGGTACAAATTTATATCATAACATATATATGATTAAATACATATATATTCATGAGCGCAGGTTTTATTGTTTTGAATTCATCCATTAACTCCAACTAAGATACAGGTCCAGTGTTATCGATACAATTAAACATTTCTATAAAGAGAAAGAAGGTCAAAGTTTATTCCATAGGTTTAAAATCAAGTTTTAGCTAAATGCAGTGTGATGTTTAATGTTCCTAGGAATATGGATGTGTGACCACCTAAGGATTGCTGGATTTAGATAAAAGAAATAAAAGACGTATTGAGTATATTACATCTGTAGAATACTAACATTCTATTCTCATTATTAAAAAAATATAAAATATATTTATATCTTTTATAAAGATATATAAAAATTAAAGGTGATATAATTCGGTTTCACCAAATGAAATATGAATTCTTGAAAACGGATGGGTTTAATCATTGGAAGAATTTCATAAAAGCTAAATGAGTATTTTGATCAATTAATAAAACTAAATTATATCAACTCATGTTTTATAAATGTTATCTCAATTACAGGTTAAATAATAATGGCTGTGTTGGAGTATCACCACTTGTGCTGGTTTAAACTAAAGAGCTTTGACATTTATTAAACAGACGACTTACACAATAAATCTCAATCTTACCACTCAGATCATAACCAGATAAACCCATTCAGTTGTAGTGCATAGTATTCAATACAATGCAGGGCAATATGCATTGAACTAAACTCACTAACAAGAGCGTAATTTTTTTTATTTATATATTGATAATAGACATCTTTTAGACCTAATCTCAATATAAATACTTAACTAAAAAAAATCTGCTGATGTTAAAATGAAATATAAAATACAAAAATTATATCATGTATTCATTAAAAAAGTGATAATTATAATAACTTAAAGCATTAATACCTTATTGCATGAAATAACAAAGCACATTTTGTTTTTCATAAATATTGAATTTTTAAAACAGAGTTAATCTGAAATTTAATTTATACAATTTACCTAACATAAGGTTTTTAAAAATAATACTAGGTCAAATTTTTATTTAAGCTTTTATTTATTTGTATTTTTTGAAAACTTCAAATACATAAAAAATAATGCTGTACGAAAATTTCATATTTTTTTTTATCTCAAATTTCAATATTTCATCATTATTTTATTAATCAAATGTCCTATTACACCGACAATAAACTGATGCATCTTTGATTTAATGAGGTAATTAACCTTTGAGAAACAGAGCGGATATTGCTAAAATAAGACAGGCTACAAATATATTTCTTTCATATGTAATTTGATCATTTAAGTTCAGATCATTTCTATTTTAAATTAAAATGCTAAAGATTTAATTAGAAAGGATTGGCACCTGTATTTTAAAGTTGATGGCCTTGGAAACCAGTCCATTCTTTCTCAATTAATACAAATGATGCCAAAACATGAAAACGCTTAACATTATAAAGATAAATACAATAAAGAAAACTAAATAAGTAAAATATTAACCACTATGTAGGCAGGATCTTACAGTTAATTACTGAATGGTTATTAGCAACTGTTAATGTAGTTAATATAATTCAATATTAAAAATTTAATATTTAATTAAATCAAATTATAACGATCATGCAAATGTTCACGGTTTGTTAATAATTCCTCTGAAGTCCATAGCATTATCAATTAAATATTTAAATAAATACCAAATTAACATAAAAAATTACATATTAAATTTTGAAAAATACTTATTTAATATTAGATGAAGAATATAATACATCATGTTATTAACACTAAATTTATAGATCCCACAAAGTACATTATAAATTCAGATGATTTTAATCAGATATCAAATTTTGAATCGATCACAATTTTAATTGAAAATCTTGATAATTCTTATTAAATATGATTTAAAGGAAAATTAAATAACTAAAAACATGCATCATAATTAACTAGCAATACAACAGGTTTCAGTACAAGTAAGCATTTATGTCTATAAACCTTCCATTAAAGACTTTTATTACTGATGCCAATCATTTTCTAGTATTAAGTAAAATATGATTTTTGAAGCATGACAAAATTAGGATGAATAGATATGGATGTAAATTTCATTCTAATTTATTACTGTTATGGACCTTGAAAAATAAAATATTCAAGGAAGAACACACCTAGGCATTAGCACTTTTCTAATTAGTTAAAATGGGTATGATTGAGAATATGTCTACCATTGCTGACAAATCAAGTGTGAAAATAAAAATTTGATCATGATAAAGAAAGAAGAAAAAAACATGCACCAAAAATAATGAAGTGAATTTTTCAATGACCCAAAACCCCACTTTTAAGCTAGAATAAAGTTTTCCAAATTACAGGTACACTGCATCAAGGTAACCCTTACAAAAAACAGAATCAACAAAAGCCATTTGACTGCCAATACAATTGAAAGTCAAATGGCATAACAACCTGACACTTGGCATACAGCCTGAACCACTACTTTATAAAACAAAAGGCCACCAATTATTAATGATTTACGATGAAGAAGTGATTATAAAAGAGTTATATGGAAATTTCTAATTAAATAAAATTAAAACAACTGGTAAGTTACCTGGAGGCAGCATTTATAGGATGAATGAAAACTTAAGAATATTTAAAGTGAAAAATTATATTAAAAAACAGGGGTTTAAAATCTTAAATAAACATTTATATAACTAAAATGCCTAAAAAATAAATATATATGTCAATAAAAATGAATAAAAAAATAAAAATGTTTAACTAGGAATTTCTATGAATGTATTAGACATCAATTAGTAATCTATTTACATAAGGATGATAAAAATGAACCATAAAGCTTTAGTTTAAAAGTTATTTATGCATCAAAACTTAACTGGAAAAACAGTTTGTCCTCATAGAATTATACTGAGAATATTATATTTAGGAACCGGTACTATTAGCAGAATTCTATTTTTAAACATATATGACACTAGAATATTTCTAGTCTATGGAATATAATATTATTTATACAGACCTTAAGAAATTTTCATTTTCTTCATTCATTTTTTCTGCTGTTTTAGATTTATATTTCATTATCTGATCAACAAGTTTTGAATTTTCTTCCTGGAAAAAAATTGGAAAATAGTGAACTTCAGTTTAAATAAAATTATTTAAGTAATTTAAAAAAATAAAATTAAAGAGCCTAATTCAATTTTATGGCGAACAAAGCAAGTTTTGGGATAAGGAATATTCAAATCAAATCATTCATAAACCCTTAAAGTTTAACATCTTCCAAATTAATAGAAAAATAGAATATATAATTTGTCATTAAAAATAACACATATTAAAAGACAACAAAAATTATTCATGAAAACATGGAATGCTTAATAGATGTTATGTAATATCTTGGAGAAACTCTTTGGAACAAAATAATACAAGTTATTTCTTAATATGGAAAACTTAGAAATTGACTACGTACCTGAGCTTTTCGTAACTTTTCTTCTAAGTGATAAAAGGCTAGTTGAAGTGCCTGATGCTCATCTCTTAGATGCTGATTAACTTTTTCTAGTTCTGTTTTGTGCGTTATGTACCTTTCTATTTCCTTATTTAAACTATTATTCGTGGCAGTTCTTTCAGCTAAACTGAAAATAACAGAAAATGTAACCAACATATATATTTAAAATACACAAATTGTACTAATAGTCAGAAACAAACCTCTCTTCGACCATTTGTAATTTCTTTTCCTTTTCTTGTAGTTTTTTATTTAAATCTATCAGCATTTGAGCATTTTCCCCCCTTTTTTTATGAAGCTCTGTCAACTCTTCCTGTTGTGCCAATAATTTACTTTCAAGTATTGATACGTTCCCGTTCCCATGGTGGATAACAGCTCCTTCAGACCGTAGTTTCTCATTCTGAATGGAAAGCTGAAGATTTTCGTGTCGCAAGGCATTGTGGTTATCAAAAAGTCGGTTATCTAAACATCCATAACAGGTTGTTAATATTTACATTCATCAATAATAATGGAAGAATGAATGAATTATGTTTCACAACCAAGTCAACTATTAAGGGAGGGTAAAAATTACTGCCAACAAACTGTTTTTGTAAAAGTATTTGTTTAATTACATATAATGGTAGGACAAAGTAAATTGACATTATCAATTCACTAAAGAAAAACTTGAAAAATACAAAAACCAATATGTTGACAGTTCTAGGTAAGGTTATGATGTCCTTGAATTATTGAATAAAAGCTTGTATAAACTGATTTACAACCATTAAGTAACGTACGTGATGTAATGAGATCCTGAAATTTAAATAGCTGTTCCTTGTTACGATTTTGTATTTGATTTATAATATTTTCTCTCCAACTTAAAGTTGAACCTCCCTCCATGCTCCTTAAATACAACCTCACTAGACATGCTTTAATAATCGATTGCTAAGAACCAAGAATGATATGATAAAATATAATCGATTGAGGAAAACCTCTTTTGCACTGATGATTTAACATCCGGAAAAATTATGATATATAGTTTTTCTCAAATTAGATATTTTTCAAATAAACGTAAACCTAATTATTGATTAAAAAAGTCAATAGAAACTGAAATAAATTCAAATAATGTGTTCAAAATAAGGTAACATTCTAGACTCCAATGGATTACCAAAGAATTGGCTTTCACCAATTCTTGAGAGTTTCTTCAATATATAATAAGAGTACGTATATTTCATTTTTTCTTCTCAATGAGCGTTAAAAATTTTTGGTTGTAAAACGTTTAAAAATAATAGGTGTTCGAATTCAAAGATATTATGTGAACTATTCAAAATATATCGGAAACAAGTAGAAATCAGTCATGGAATGTAACCAATTGTTTTTCTTAGATTTTTAAGACCAATTTTTGTATTATACTAATATTTTACTGATAATTTTAGTACCTCAATAAATTAAAAATTAAAAATTAAAGTCTTATTTATCTAAATTATTTGACAAGTTTGAAAACAAATTGTCAAAACTTAAAGGATATCAAATATTTAGATATTTTAAACATTTTTCGAACAAGTCATGATTTTTCTTTCATTTTAAAAAAGTTTTTGTTACCTTCCTACAGTTCATAGGATCCTGCCAGTATATAAATATATATTTTCCTTTTTCTTTTTTAATTTTTTTTGTGCAATATTTTATTTGAAAGTTTAGTGAAACAAATATTGTTTTTGCATTTATTTTTTAAATCTTAACATAGTTCATAAAATGAGTTAATATTAACTGATGATGATATTAATTTAAAATATTACTTACTATATTGTTAAAAAAGTGTTGAATTGGTGAGGAAATGAGTTGAAATAAGGAGCAGTATAAGCGATTTATAAACTCAAAATTGCTACTATGCCAAAAATTACTAGTTCTAACCCTGCCAACTGCCATGTACCACTTATGTTAATTATTATGAGATTATAGATATACCTTTTTCACAAACATAGCCCTTAGTTCAATAGTGTATTCAGCATTAGAAATAAGATGCTTTAAATTATAATTAATGATTGATTAAAAAAAAATAGGAAAATTTAAAATTGGCCAGAGTTTTAATCACTTCTATATGGAAATTTAGTAAATAAGTTCAACAAATCTATTTTACTGCCTATAGACAACATTTAATATTATAGGTTCAGTTTATTTTAGTGTTCAGTCATAAAATATACAGTTGATTACTACAGATTTGTCCTTATCTTAGTGTTATAGGTAGACAAATAGTAAAAATATGTGGATCTGTCAGAAGTTTTGTCCCTTTGAGTCCAGTTAGTAATTACTAGCACTAGCGGATCCAGGATTTAATTTTGGGGGGGGGCTTCAGCCCGAAAGCTGTTTTTTTCATAAAAACAATGATAATTACTTTGGAAAAAAAGAAAGAAACTAACTACCTGTATGAAATGGTGTTTAAGTGATTCCTAAAGCCCTTTTAAATGGAATTACACAAACAATAATACTTTAAGAGATACTTTTTAATATTTTTTACGATAAAACATGGCTATATTTTACCATTTTTGGGGGAGGGGCTTCAGCCCGAAAGCCTCCTCCCCTCCCCCCGTAGATCCGCCCGTGATTATTAGGTGTATGTTAGTAAAAGGAACTCAAATCCCTTATGTAAATATTTCCTATCTGATATAATTCCACTTGCTATTAGGCCTTGTCAAATTTGTACTAGGATCCACAAAGAGTAAGTGGATCAACAAAGTAAAGACGCCTTATCAATGATGAAAGAAAATAGAGATGCAAACTTTGTACTATAATCAGTACCAGTTATCTTATGATGCTCTTTGAAACATTTTGTAATATTATTCTTATTGAAATATAATTTTTTTTCATAGGGCATAAAAATATCTTGTTATTCTTCATTGTTAAGCATGTTTTTCTTGTTCAATGCATCATAAATTTTTATCTTTTTATATTTCTAATTTTTTTTCACTGTTGAAATAAATGTCTTCTCAAATATAATTATTCATTTCCATTAATATCCTTCAAAACATCCCATTTATCTTATGTTTCAATTCCAGGATACTTACAATTTCTGAGTTCTAATAAAAATACTGTTTGAAGTTTATTAAGTATTTTAAAGCTTATCTTAAAATAAATAAATAAAATATAAGTTAAATTAATAAACAATATATAAATTAACTGTATTAACCTTTATATATTTAATATCTTCTGTTTAATACCTTATGATGAATGGGAGATTTATTTCGAAACAATGTTTTTTGACAGTTGAAATTTTTTTGGATACTTGAAAGAATATAAATATAAACCAACTTTGAAATTTATTACGGATTTAAAAACTAATTTTTATTGAGTATGATAAAAATCAGAATAATGCCCCTAAAATATTATATTATATACCACTAAGCAATTATAGTTAAAATTAAATATCTAAAACTTGAAGCTTTCTAGAGAAAAATCAATATAGAGAAACATTGGAATTTTTTATCACTAAAAAATTTATGTGGTATTGTATATTTTATGCTGAAAAAAAGATAATGTAATTTAGTTGTTTAAGGTGAAGGAATGTGTATGTGAGGTTTTGGGTAGACAATCCCTTCAGGTAAATTTGGTAATTTTTATGTGAAGTAATTCTTGAGCAATGCTCATTTCCAATTGAACATTGCTCAGCGACAGATCCACTCAAAACAACCAACTTCATCTCAAGATGACTGGGCTGGCCAAAACATAGTAAATAAAGATTATCATTGATGAAATTATTTAAATAATTTATTTTTTTTTAAAAAGGGCAGAATTTGATGTTAATCTTTTCGATTAATAAACTGGTGAAGTATTTGAACCATATGTAAATAAATAAGTAAGTGAATAAATAAATAACTATTTGAACCGTGTCACTGTAAAATTGTCAATTATATGAGGCAAATAAGTGACGGAACAACATTTTAATTATTAAAATGCATAGGAGCTTAGGTTTTAAAGATGGAAGTAAAGTTCCAAATAAAGCTTAAATAAACAGATGATTGGATTTATAACCTTAAAAATCATTTTAATTCTAATTTTTATCAAAATTATTCAAGAAACAAAATAATAAATAAATAAAATTAGGCCGTACAAATGTCAACTGCTTTATTTATTACATATATGATATTTTCAGAGAAAAACTACATTCGAACATTTAATCTGTTTATCTTTAGCTTGTTCATATCTTAATAGAGACATTAACTCTTAATTGTGTTTAATCTTGAATGACATTTTTGAGGGTAAATCTAGAACTCAAAATATTGGTATTCCACTGTTATTAGTGGCCAATGCACCCCCAGAGTCTAGAGAATAATTCAAGAGTTTACAGATGGGAAAAACATTTTGGTTTTTGACAAGAAAAATAATTTTAGAATATAAATGACCTTATTGCAATTAGAAAATATTACAAAATAAACTAAATATTTGTATATAAAAAATTATTAAAAGATATCTAAAAAATATTAAGGTAGGTAACAATAGTAAAAGACTCTACAAAGTTTCCAGAAAATTCCTAACTTCCATATCACACCTTTGCCTCAATCACAATAGTCTACCACTATATCTCTTTAACAAAAACATCCTGGACTCTTCTTATTGTTCCTGCGACCATTCCTTCATTCATGTTCTCCTTTTCTGTCCAAATACATCCACAGACTGTGATTCCTTCTACCGTTCCCTCACATTCCTATAATTCTCTTATATTATTTCATCGACCAGGAATTATTTATGCCTTAATTAGATTTATCATATCAAATAACATGAACTATTAAGCATTCCATTTGTATGGATTGCCATATCAGCTAATATGCCCATGCATAAATTAAAAAAAAAAAATATCAAAAAAAGAATCTTTTTTGTTTGGTGGAGGAAGGTAATGTTCGTTTCCTAAAACATTATTTTTTATTGAGATTCGGTTTTCTAACCTCAAAAAACATTTTAATTCTAATGCTTATTGAAATTTTTTAAGAATTAAACTATTTTTTAATTGAAATTAGGCCGTACATGCTGTCAACTGTTTTATTTATTACAACTATGATATTTCCATAGAAAAAAAAACAACAGATTTGATTTTTAAATTGGAGAAAATAATTATTGTGAACATTATATTTGTTTTTGTTTTTTTATGGTATATTTTGTTTCTATTTTTTTATAATGAACACATATCAAACTGTTGGCTAAGAGCTGTTATGAAAATGTAACATGTCATTGCAAGATTAATTAATATATCCAAATCTTTTTCATTTATTTTTCAAATTTCAACATAAAATAACCTATAAGTTAATAATTTTTCTTTTCCTCTCTTTCTATATCTCTTATAAAAACATGTTCCTTTATTTGTAATAAGCATAACAAACACTACTCTTACTTGAAGAGAATATAGGATTTTATTACAATTTCATCTATAATTTCTAAATAAAACAATTAATTTCAAAAATTAAACACCCATTTGAGGACGTAAACTTGATGAATAAATAATTTGTTTTGGGATTAACATTTCATACTGGAAAACACAATTAAATGTAAAAGATCAAGAATTTTTCACAGTAAAAAAAAAACAACTATTTCTACTGGTATAGAAAGCGTCAATTTTTTTTCTTTAAATAACTTACACAGTGAACCAAATTTGTGAGAATTTTCAGGCTCCTTCACTATACACATGCATTAGGGAGAACATTTTAAACTATTTTGAAGAAATAACTCCAAGGGTATAGCCGAATTTCAAGTTTAGGAAATATTTGTTTTTAAAATTTTATACAAATTAGAAATAAAATACTTCTTCAGACGAGAAATCCTGAAACTCAGCTCAATGCTTGCCAGTTTTTTCAGGTAATTTGGTTCATCATATTTTATTACTTCAATATTTTTAAGCCTAGATTTACACTAAAAAAAAAAATCAAAAATTTAGGAATCAAAT